CTCTTGTCCCCCTGGGCACACTCTGGCTCCTGTTCAGCTTCCCTTTCCTGCCTTTCCTGCCCCATGCAGGCCATCATGCCAGCTGTCAGGCCAGTTCAGCTGCTGCCTTGGTGTTCAGTTATGCTGAAGCCCTCCTGGTTCACCAGACTTGGAACACACATCCTTTTTTTGACCCAAGATGTGACATCCTCACAGATGGCAGATTATTCCATGTACTCCCTTGAAGTGTGGAGCTTCTCCCAGGAAGCAGGGATGCCTCCTCATGGTCACTGCCCAGGGGTTAAGGGAAAGAGAGACATCTGCCTGCTATCTCATAGGGTGACTTATATCAATCTCTACTTAATGATTGTTTCTTCTGCTGCTTTAACAGAATTGCTTTGTTACAGTGCATTATTTTGTTATATAACACTCTACTAGTAGATTTTTTTTTAGCTTTTACATCATGTAGTAAATAATTCTGATTAGGATCTTTCCTCTGTTCACCTGTTTGTTAATTTCTCATAATAAATCATTCATTTATATAAATCTTTGTAGTTTGCCATCATTAAAACCTGTGGGACAAAGGGGTTTAATAGCTCTGTAATTCCTTTAAATTTAAACTGCTACCACAGTCCGGGGCTAAGATGGGATTCAGCCACACCTGAACCCTTCCCTGGATACTAAAATGTCTGGATCTTAAAAGGAATAAGTTATTTATGGGGATGCTGAAATGTTCATACAACTCCATCCCAAACAAAAGGGATGTTTCACAGACTCTGAGTTTATCTTGTAACAAATTAAGAAATCAACCCAGAGATTAAATTAGCAACAACAAAATGAATCCAAAAGGAATTTCCTAATGACCATGTGAATTTTTATTACCCCAAATTATCAGATTAATGTAAAACCACGAAAACATTTCCAAACAGGGAGGAGGAAAAAGGTGAAGTGGGGAAAAGCCATCCCCTAATTAGTGTGAAATGACTCCTTGTTCCTTACTAATTCTGTTACCATAACTGGAGGAGGAGTTTAGAGAGCAGGGAGTCCTTCCTGCACCTCGACACTCGCCAGCAAGGCTTTGCATTTTAAAACTTTGCCTGAGCTTTCCACTCTCCCGGGACCCCTGGAGAGCAGGGACTTACATTTGGAACAAGTGCATCCTGTCAGGTGGGAAGGAAAGTGCTGTGTCCAAAAATTTGCAGGCTGAGAGGTACAAGGAGAGCTCGTTGTGTGGGATGTCAGACCCGCTGCCGTCCCCAGGGGCTCTCTGCTTGCTGATTTTGCTGTTGCTCCTGTGTTCAAATTCAAGAAATGGCCCATTAAAACATAAATTAAAGGGTTTTCATTCACACATTTACAAAAGCAAGCACTGGTACAGCTGTTTTTTTTCTGGAGGAGATTATAGGAAATTAATTGTGGGATTAATATGAAAAGGCAGGAGGAGAAAAATAAACCAAGAAAAAAAAGGCAGCATGTTAAAATATTCAAATGCTGACTTAGCATTTAATATTATCTTTGTATGCAATTAATAACTATTAT